CTAGTATGGTTCCTTAGCATGTCTTTCCTGTGAGGTGCCATGTCATGGGACTTTCCATGAACTCATGAAACAAGATGGCAGAGGAGAAATTTTTCTCTAGGAGGCTTTTTACCAAATAACTTTGTATTTGCCACTGGCTTTAAAAAGCTTCAAAGTATCATCCCCTCTAGTTTTTAATATTTTCTTTATATATATATATATATATATATATATATATATATATATATATATATATATATATATAATTGATTTCAGAGAAGAAGGGAAAGGAAGAGCGAGAGAAACATCAATGATGAGAGGGAATCATTGATCGGCTGCCTCCTGCACGCCCCCTACTGGGGATTGTTCAGAATCAAATCCGGGACCCTTGAGTCCGCAAGCCAACGCTCTATCCACTGAGCCAAACCGGCCAGGGCTAGTTTTTAATATTTTCAAAGATTGGGGATCCAAGCACGATTTATTCCTGCATGTGCTTCACAATGTAATCATTTAAAAGTGTATTAGCACTCAAGTCATCCAGCTCAAGATCTGCACACAACTCTGCCTCGTTGTAAATAAAGGGGCCTCATTCCTCACCAAGAGAACTGTTCAGCACCTTCTCTCTTGCACAAAAGCACTTGTTTCACCCATGACAGCCCCCATGCTTCTCCAGGTTCAAGGCTACCTCACACAGTAACCTGCAATGCTCTTTCCTTCCTCGCCAATTTCCAATGTGGTATCCTAGTAACTCCAGATTCTCTATAAAAGTAGTTTTATAGTTTACAAAACTCAAGATAGTCTTTACCATAGGACCCAGCAAATTATGTTCCTTAGAATTTATCCAATGAGTTGGAAACGTATGTCCATACTTAAAACCTGCACACAGAGGTTAACAGCAGCTTTCTTCTTAATTGTCCAAACTTGAAAACAATCAAGATGTCCTTCAGGCCGAAATCGGTTCGGCTCAGAGGACAGAGCGTCGGCCTGCAGACTGCAAGGTCCCAGATTCGATTCCAGTCAAGGGCATGTACCTTGGTTGAGGGCACATCCCCAGTAGGGGGTATGCAGGAGGCAGCTGGTTGATGTTTCTCTCTCATTGATGTTTCTAACTCTCTATCCCTTTCCCTTCCTCTCTGTAAAAAATCAATAAAATATAATTTTTTTTAAAAAAAAGATGTTCTTCAGTAGGTGGATGGATAAACTGTGGTATGTTCAGATGATGGAGTACCATTTGGCACTAAAAATAAATGAGCTAGCAAACCATGGAAAGACATGGAGGGATCTTAAATCCATAGGATTATGTGAAAGAAGCCAGTCCAAAAAGGCTCCATATTGTATGATTCCAAACATATGACATTTTAGAAAAAGCAAAACTATGGAGATCATAAAAAGATCAGTGGTTGTCGGGTTGGAGGGAAAGGAAGGATGAATAGACAGAACAAAGAGATTTTTAGGGCAATGAAATTACTCCTAATAGTGGATTGTACATGCCATTATACATTTGCTCAAACCCATAAAATGTACACCACCACCAGTGAACACTGATGTAAACTATAGACTTTGGGTAATAATGATGTGTCAATGTAGGTTGATAATTTTAAGAAATATATCATTCTGGTAGAGGATGTTGATGGGGAAAGCTATACATGTTTCGGGGGGAGGGTGTCTGGGGGACCCAGGTATATGGGAAATCTATATCTTCCTTTCAATTTTGCTGTGAACCTAAAAAAGTGTTAAAAAAAAAAAAAGGGTAGTTTTACTTCTTGCATTTTAAAAATAAGTTAAAGAAGGACATGCAATCCTTGAAAAGTTAATACAAAAATAAAATACCAAGTGGATGGGAAGCATTGTCCCAAATGCCTTTAAAGGCATAGTCTCACAAATATTCATCCTTCATTTACATTTGGCTTTAGGTTAAAAGAACACATCAGATTTTACATAATCATACAGGCATGTGAATCATATACAAATGTGTTCTTGCACATAATTATAAACCTATTAGTTTATTCTATGCAAACATATACACTAAGCTTAAATTTATCATCTTCAAAAGCCACTCGGTTCCTGCTTTGATTGCCCAAATTCTAAATTTCCCCTTTTCCTACATCCCTCTTTAGTCCCAATCTCATACTATTTTTGTGTAAATCCAACATTTTCCCTGCATTTCTGGAAGATAACAGCTCCCAACAATCCCATGGGAACCCCCAACAATGATATACTAATTCAGTTTATGAATTTATGAGAACAATTTGATGGGTCCTCTGTATTTATATTTGTCTTTCCTTTATTTTTTAAATGTCTCAGCCCATTTATCTTTTTAAACTACTAGATTATAAATTATTTGACAGTGTTAAAAATCCTGAGTACAGAAATTTCTAGAACAGATTTTTCTTAGCTCAAGATCCTCCTTTGTGGGTATTCATAAAATCTCATAATATTTTGAAAATAGGTGTGTTTTTCTTTTCCAAACATAAAGATGTAATACTAAACAAAATCATATATGGCCCTGCCATTTGCTGGAATTTTATTTATTTGTATTTATTAATATTTTTGTACACCCCAGTGAACAGCTATTACATAACAATATGTGATCATCCCAATAAATGTCATACCCATCCAGCACCACACCCTGGGTTTCTCTACCTATAAACCCAAGTTATCAGAATATTATTGACTATATACATATTCCCTATGCTGTTCTTTATATCCCGTGACTACTCTGTAACAACCAATATGTACTTCTTAATCCCTTCACCTTTTTTGTCTAGTCCCCCTCCCTCCCTCCCTTCTGGTAACCAACAAAAAATTCTCTATATTTATGCGTCTGTTCTGCTTGTTCATTTTATTTGTAGATTCAATTGCTGATAGATATGTATTTATTGAGATTTTATTGTTCATATTTTTAATCTTTTCTTCTTCTTAAATAACACTCATTTCATATAATACTGGTTTCTCGTCCCACCACTGCCCCCCTATGAAGAGGTATTATTCCAAAGTGAGATGGCTGGTGCCAAGAACACGTACACCGTCAACCTTGCCCTGCACCTGCTAACAACCAGGTTGCTGGAGATTCCAAAGGAAGGCCTGGAGAGCCTTCGCCAGATTCTGAGCTACATCTCCAGTGACAGAAGAGTCACACAAACATCCTCTGCACAAATGTGAGTTGTTTAATGTTGTTGTTTTTTTTTTATTAAATGATACATCGAAGGTATAAAAGTTCCCTAGGTACAAACAAGTTACAGAATAATGTATATAAATAAACAATGAACTACACGTGACAATTCCATTTAGCTTCTATTTTGATAAATTTACATCAGTATCTAAAATGCTAAACTCCAGCATTTTTTCTTAATATAGTGCTGCATGATGATTGCAATTCCTGAGGTAAACTTAGTGTCTCTGCTAACATCTTTGTATGTAAACCAAATCCTCTGAGAAAAATTCAGATATTTATAGTCCCACATATATTAGAATTCACAATTATAATCAGATACTACAGATTTCACTTAAAAAATGGAAATGAGCTAGGCTGGTGTGTCTCAGTGGATTGAGCGTTGACCTATGAACCAGGAGGTCATATTTCCGATCAGGGCATATGCCCAGGATGGAGGCTCAATCCCCAGGAGGGTGTGCAGAAGGCAGCTGATAGATGTCTCTCTCTCATCGATGTTTTTTTCTCTCCCTCTTCCTTCCCCTCTAAAAATCAATAAAAACATATTTTTTAAAAATTGAAATGAACTCTTATAATATTTCTACATCTTTATATGTGACTTTAGCCCACCAATAGGGATTCTTAAAATCCTTTGACTTGTAAAAGTATGGTTTAATGAGATTCTTTTAATAATTTTCTGTATTCAGATAAAAATTCCTAGTAAGAACTAAACACTGACTAGTACCAAATATATTATCAAGTTTCAATAATTTCCAAAGGCCAATTTTGCCAATTAAGCCCTTATCACTTTCCCTGTGGAAGATGTTTAAGCTAAATGCTGTCAGTATACAGCGCTAATGCAGTTGTGCTCTGAATATACCAAGGACTTTGCCAGTCAGGTGCTGTCTACTGTAACAGATTTCAGTGAGATCAATCTGTAGACTCCACATTATAAAAATATCTTAATAAATATCAAAGCAGCATTTTAGAGATAGCACTAGGATAGCTCTTACTGTTTTTCTATCCAAAGAATAAAAATTAACATTTAATAAGACTTTCAGAGCCCAAATAATTAGGGGTTGGCCCTTTCATAGCTCTTCTTAAAACTGCATAACTGAAGGCCACATGGAGGTTAGACAATGCCATCTTTTAAAAGGTACTTTCTGGTTTTCTCCTAAAGCCTGTCTCTTCATGCTGATTCCACATTCTTCGTGTAATCAAATAAACTCTTTGTTTTACTTACAGCAAAATTAAAAGAATTAGTTCCCCCTCTAGATTTTAATTAAATCTTCCAGGAGAAGCCAAAATGATCTAAGGAAAGAAAAAGTACATTGTTACCTAGTTTAAAAGTTCAATTTTAGGTAGTAATTCAGATATTTTAATCTAATTATAAATGGCTATCTGAAAAATAGCTAATCAAAAAAATCAAATTTTATAAAAAAGAGATTTTTTTCTTGACTTTAATGCTCTTTTCTTAAATTTTCTATTAACTCTCATAATTCTAGCCTAAAGGAAATGTAATTAATGTATAATGCTAACAAGCAGATGATATGACTATAAAGACCTGTATATTTTTTTTTAGAAGAATGTATAGGGTACTAATATTCATTTTTCCCTTTCCTTTCTCACTCTAAGAACCTTTAAAATATTTCCTAAAAATAATACATTTTATTTCAAGTCAAATCCAATAGCCTTGATGACAGAGTTAGCTTTTATTCACAAATGCAGTAAAGCATGAAAGACTAAGTATTTTTGCAGACACTCAAATTTCTACAAAGCACAAATATTAGTGATGCATTTTGGCAATGTGAAAATAAATAAGTGATTTAATACATACAACTTTAAGATAAAAGATGCCCAAATGGAAATGTCATCTCTTCACGTTTTGAGAAATATGAAGATCTTCAATATTAGTATTTTTCCCCTTGTCTTTTCTTAGGTGGTCATCTGAAATTAATAGAAATGAGTGTCAATGCTTATTTCAAGTTAAAATAGGCTACAGGCAGACACAGCTACATATATTTCAGTGAGTTATATGTTTAAAGTTGTGTTCTTAGGACAGCTTAGGACAATGAAAGAAACAAAATACAACGTTTTAAACACTACTGAAAAAAATCAGAAATGGTTTGTACTAGGAGCTCTAATTATTCAAAAAAGCTTCTTAACTATTTAAAAAAGTGAATAGAGTAATAATCCCTGGAGTAAACCCATTGGTAAGTAGCTACAAACTTCTCTTATATGTAAAGAACAGAATTCACAAGAAAGGCCAGGGTGTTTAGCATTTTGAGGGACGTTAAAGCTTTTCAATCAAAAAGAAAAACCTTTCTTCAAATAGAAACGTCTCCCAGCTGCACTCTCTTGTGACAAGAAGAAAACTAGCACAAGTTACATTTTCCTACGCATATCAGAAAACTATCCAAGAACTTGTAGAAAAGTTCTTCTGCCAAAACCAAAACAATAAAGTTCCATGAGAGTTCAGAGGAGCCCAGAGCCTCTGTAACCACCCACTGTGCTCCCGCCATAGTGAAGAAGAGGCCCCAGTCACTGCTCAGTTTCTTTTGTCATGGGGGTGGGGCAGTAGAGAAAAGGAGAGGGCAGATGTGTTCTACATTAAAAGAACCTAAAAATCTCAATACCTGCCCTAACTGGTTTGGCTCAGTGGATAGAGCTTCGGCCTGCAGACTGAAAGGTCCCAGGTTCGATTCCAGTCAAGGGCCTGTACCTTGGTTGTGGGCACATCCTCAATAGGGGTTGTGCAAGGAGGTGGCTGATGGATGGTTCTCTCTCTCTCTCTCTTTCTCTCTCTCTCTCTCTCTCTTTTAAAATATATTTTATTGATTTTTTACAGAGAGGAAGGGAGAGATATAGAGCTAGAAATGTCGATGAGAGAGAAACATCGACCAGCTGCCTCTTGCACACCCTCTACTAGGGCTGTGCCTGCAACCAAGGTACATGCCCTTAACCAGAATCGAACCAGGAACCTTTCAGTCTGCAGACCGATGCTCTACCACTGAGCCAAACCGGTTTCGGCTGGATGGTTCTCTCTTATCGATGTTTTTAACTCTCTATCCCTCTCCCTTCCTCTCTGTAAAAAAATCAATAAAATATATTTTAAAAAACCAAAAACTTAATACCCAATCACCCTAGCTGGTTTGGCTCAGTGGATAGTTGGCCTGTGGACTGAAAGGTCCTGGGTTTGATTCCAGTCAAGAGCACATGCCAAGTTGCAGGAGTCAGCCAATCAATGATTCTCTACCATCATTGATGTTTCTCTCTCTCTCTTCCTCCCCCTCCTCTCTGAAATAAATAAAAATATATTTTAAAAGATAAAAAAAATAACATAAATAAAACACTTAATACCCAATGTGGACAAAAACACAATGCACAAATGAAATCCCTAGGAAAATGTGACACACACCCCCCCATTCATTAAACACTTTTTGCCACAGAAAAAATATAACCTTTAAAAAAATATTCTGAAATATTCTGATGAGAAAAATACAAATTTAGACAAGTTATTAGAAACATGTAATTTTAGCATCAAAACATATTAGTTATTCTAATTCTAAAGACAATTTGATTGTTCACAATCTTATTAATTAGCCCACAGCTGATCACTCTCAGAAATAATGTAAATACTACTACAGATCTGAATCACAGATAAAAAACAATATCCTTCTATTTTAGGCAACTTTTATTGGACAAAATTAATAATATCTTTAGGACATACGCACTTTGGTTTTCTATAAAAGCATTATTAAAAAATGAAGTATGTTTTTCACGTAATTCTCCATAGATGTGTATAAAGTTGAGCTGACGACTTTACAGATTAAAAAGGGTCTCGTCTTTTATGTATAGCAACAACTACTACTTTGCCTCTAATATGGTAAGTTTTAATATCAGCAGCACTAATGATTGGCTACTATTTCAAAGGTAAGTGTCTTTATACATCCTATTCATTTTTTTCAGCACTTTGAAAGCTTTGATAAAATAAGTGCATGCTTTGGACTTATTTTCAAATAAAAGAGAATTTAAGTTACTGTTTTACATTTCAACTGGATGAATTTGTGTAGAGATAAGATATTGTAATCTAAAGAATAAGTATTAAAAAAGATTAAGTATTTTAACATCTTCATAATCTTGTCCATGTTGTAAAATGAAACATGTATTCTTTAAACAGTAAGCTAGAGCTGAGAAAATAAATGGAATGCTTAGATATGTTATTAGAACATAATCAATATTGTGGGTGCTTTTTGTTTTTAATTAATTTGAGAGGGAAGAAGAGCGAGAGAGAGGTCATTACATAAAGAGGCCAAGAAAAATTTTTATGATCAAGAAAAATAATTATCCTATTGGTTCTGCAGTCATCCTTATTTCTGAGCCTTCCTCAGAGCTTTCCACAGAATAAGCACCAAAGCTTCACTGACTAGAATTTTATTCTCTGAGGTCTCTGGCATTTTATACAGAAAGGACCCCTCCCAGCCCACCCTAACCACTGTGTATATGCTACCGGTAGTTAATCCATGACCTTCATCTCAGGAGAACTTAGGTAAGAAATACTCTACTACTTGTAACTTTCTTATTAGTCATTAGCCATATTAAAGAGAATGATTATAAAAAGCTTACAAATCACAAAAATTATTTCTCAAGAGGCTATTTTTCCTTATTAGACTGAAAATATAAATAGGTTTGCTGTGTTAACAAGTGTTAATGTGTGTAATATCCACTGGTAACAATGAAACTGAGAAACCAGTATTGGTACTTATACTTGGTGAGCATAAACTGTTAAAGTGTTTTTTGGGGGGGAAAATTAGACAATTAGACTATTTTTTAATGCGCACATGCCTTGAACCAGCAATTCTACTCCTAGGCATTCAGATGAGAAATGCCCGTGTGAAGAAAGAAGTAATGCTACACTGTAATACTGTAAAAGCAAAAAATAAAAAACAGTAAAAGTACATCAGTAAAGAGTGATTAACCACACTATGGACTACTACAAAAAGTTAAAAATGAAGAGGAAGTAGATCTACATATATTAACAAAAATGCAAATTATAGAATAATATGTATAGTGATAGTGCATATAGGGGTTGGCAAAAGTAGGTTTACATGTTCATATGGAAAAAAGGCATGCAGGTTATGATTATTGCATAGCTTTCTTCACTCAAAAGAATGTATGATGGTACAGTGCACTTAGGAACAATCTTGTAGGTGCTTAAATTGCCAGCCTTCATCATTCACACATTCTTGTAGTTTACTTGTTATACTCAAACACACTTTGGCACAGAATACTGACCTACTTTTGCCCACTCCTGTATTCTAAAATTTAATTGTTTTTTTTAAATACTAAGGTGGTAATGCATGGTTCAAATTTCAAAAGGAAGATAAAAGGGTTACAAATGTGAATTTCTTCAGTCCTGTCTCTAACCACATAACTCCTCCCAGACACAAGATATCAATTCCTTGCCTATTCCTGCAGATTTTCTATCCAGTACCTGTTTTTCTTTGATGCTGGTAATTTGGAAGGTGTGTAAAATTCTCATATTAACTATTAGTAACCTTGTTTTTATATACATCCAAAGGAGGGAGGTCTGGAAGAGAGAACTTGCCACTGGAATCTCAGAGCAGTCAGGGAAACTACAGAGCACAAAGGGCTTTTTAAAATAATGCCTTTCCCCTTTAACCTTTATGTTATAATTAAGTGTTTAATACCCTATTCTGAAATAGAGTTGCAATTTCCTGCTTCTGTTTGTCATCTTACTCAAAGTTTTGTATACTTTTATCTTTTTGTTTCATGTAGAAGAAAGAACTCCTTTCATTTCTTGTCATGCAGGTCTTGTGGTGATAAAGTCCCTCAGCTGTGTCTGTCTGGAAAAGCCTTTATTTCTCCCTCATATCTAAAGGATAACAAAAATATGTTAGCGTTCCACGAATTTGCGTGTCATCTTTGCACAGGAGCCATGCTACTCCTCTCTGTATTGTTCCAATTTTAGTGCATATCAGTACTTGAATACACAGAATTGAATCCTGAAGGATACCCACCAAGTTGCTAATGGAGTTAACTTACATAGAAGGGAGGGTAATTGGGGAGTTAGGGAAAAGCAGGAGGGAAGAGATTAAAGGGCATGTTACATTATATTATTTGAATGTTTAGAGATTTACTCATGTGCTTGTGTTTTGTTTTGAAGTACCTGCTAAAAAGCAGTTCTTATTCAATCCCTAAAAAGAGAACTAGGAAAACCCCATGTTCTTTAAATGATAATGTGTACAGGAATGCCAATCAGAAATGCTGATGCTGCCGAACCGGTTTGGCTCAATGGATAGAGCGTCAGTCTGAGAACTGAAAGGTCCCAGGTTCAATTTCGGTCAAGGGCATGTACATTGGTTGCAGGCACACCCCCAGTAGGGGGTGTGCAAGAGGCAGCTGGTCGATGTTTCTCTCTCATTGACGTTTCTAGCTCTCTATCTCTCTCCTTTCCTCTCTGTGGAAAATCAATAAAAAATATTTTTTTAAAAATGCTAATGCTGCCAAGATCGGTTTGGCTCAATGGATAGAGCGTCGGCTTGGGGACTGAAGGGTCCCGGGTTCGATTCCGGTCAAGGGCATATACCTTGGTTGCGGGCATATCCCCAGTAGGGGGTGTGCAAGAGGCAGCTGATCGATGACTCTCTCATTGACGTTTCTAGCTCTCTATCTCTCTCCCTTCCTCTCTGTACAAAATCAATAAAATATATATTTTTTTTTAAAATGCTAATGCTGCTAAAAAATGATCAACTATAGGCATAAATGAACTCTTATGAGATCATAAAACTCTTAGTCTTAGTTTTCTCTAATGTAAATAAGTAGCTGGGAATTTATTTTCCAATGTTCTATAAGCTCAAAAATCTAAGATATATAGAAAAATAAGTCCTAGTAAAGTCAGAAATAGCCTCAAAAAGGCCACCAGCTTTCACATCTTTAGCTAATATTTAACTCTAGGGGCCCAGTATACGGATTCATGTGGGGTCCCTCAGCCTGGCCTGTGCCCTCTCACGATCTGGGACCCCTCAGGGGATTTGGACTGCTGGTATGAGAGATGTAAGGGGCAGGCAGCCTGCCAGGGAGGAGCCTGAACCCCGGCGCCAGGTGCTGCGCTGCTCCTGCTCAGCCTGGCCCTGCTGTGCTGCCACTGTGGTAGGTAGCACTGCGGAAAGGCGGGAAAGGCTGTGGTCGTGAGCCCAGCGTCTGGTGCCCATTGGTCAGCTGAGTGTTGCTCCTGTTGTGGAACACACTCACCACCAGGGGGCAGTTGCTCAAAGCAGTAGCTGCCTCCTGGTGGTCAGTGCATGTCATAGTGACCAGTCAAATGGTCGATCGGTTACCAGTTGCTTAGGGTTTTATATATATACTAGAGGCCCAGTGCACAAAATTTGTGCACTCGGAGGGAGGACTGCACCCTCTCACAGTCCAACAGTTGGACATCCTTAGCCCTGCCACAGAGGCGGGAGAGGCTCCCACCACTGCTGCTGTGCTAGCCAGCCATGAGCCAGGCTTCTGGCTGAGTGGCATTCCCCCTGTGGGAGCACACTGACCACCATGGGACAGCTTCTGCCTTGAGATCTTTCCCCTGGTGGTCAGTGCGTGTCATAGCAAACGGTCATTCTGCTGTTTGGTTGGTTTGCATATTAGCCTTTTATTATATAGGATAATGTCTTATTATGGGCAAGACCTCTAATTCAATTTTTTTTAGGTAGTTAAAGGGAGGGGCATAATTTTCAGTTGAACCTGAAACTAAAATTGCACTTAGTTCAAAAATCTGCATACCACTGAGACACATCCTGGTGAGGCTCATTCTGAACCCACACACTGTTCTATTATGTGGGTAAGTATTGGGAACCATCTTATTTCTTTAGTGAAAGGAATCTTTTGTTATGTTACAATGACTAACTTTATCTCATGAGTTGTGTTTTGGCTTTAAGCCTGTATCCAGTATTCATGCAGCAACTTCAGCTCTTCTGTTCAATATTTACCTGGCATATATTTCCTTTTATTTTCTCTAAATCTTTCTAGATTTTTATGTATTGGATAGGAATAGCCCATGGGCACAGACAATAGTCTGGCGAAGGCCTGGAAGGGCTGGGGGCGGGGTGTAGGAGATCAATGGGAAAAAATAAAAACCAAAACAAAGGGACATCTTTAATACTTGCAACAATAAAGATACATTTTAAGGAAAAAATCTTAGTTGAAAAGAGTTTTATGTGAAATAATATAAGTAAGTGCTCTACACTGTACTTTATATTCTCAACCCTCTCAAAGAGTTATTAATTGACCCTATGTTCATTGACTGCAGGACTGACTTCCACCATACTGCCCCAGCACTGACTGCCACAGAGGCTGCAATCAGACCCTGCTTTTCTCTCCCAGCCTCTGCCCAGGCCTGATTGCAGCCCCCTCGGCAGTCAGAACTGCGTCACTGAGGGACCTGCAGCATGGCAGTCAGTGCTGGGTCACCAGAACTGACTTCCACCACACCAACCCAGCACTGACTGCCACAGGGGCTGCGATCAGACCCTGCTTTTCTCTCCAGGCCTGATCGCAGCCCCCTCGGCAGTCAGTGCTGGGTCACTGAAGTGCCCACAACACTGACTGCAGAACTGACTTCGGTGATTGGTCAAGACTTCGACCTTGATAATCAGCTGTCTGAAACCCATCTGACCTTTGTTTTTTAAAACTTATTTTTAAATTTTGTATTGGTTTTAGAGAGAAGAAGATAGGGAAAGAGAGAGAGAGAAACATTCATGATGAGAGAGTATTACTGATTGGCTGCTTCTTGCATGTCCCATACTACCTGTTTCCCGAAAATAAGACCTAGCGCATGGAAAGATAAGACATCCCCTGAAAATAAGACCTAGCACAACTTTGAGAGAGAAAATTAATATAAGACACTGTCTTATTTTCGGGGAAACAGGGTAGGAATTGAGCCCAAACCCAGGCATGTGACCGGACCAGGAATAGAACTGTGACCTCCTTATTCATGGGTTGACACTCAACCACTAAACAGCATTGGCCAGGCCCACCTGACCTTTTTAAAAATAGAGATCAAGCTGAAACTGGTTTGGGTCAGTGGATAGAGTGTCGGCCTGCGGACTGAAAGGTCCCGGGTTCGATTCCAGTCAAGGGCATGTACCTTGGTTGCGGGCACATCCCCAGTAGGAGATGTGCAAGAGGCAGCTGGTTGATGATTCTTTCTCATCGATGTTTCTAACTTTCTATCCCTCTCTCTTCCTCTCTGTAAAAAATTAATTAAAAAATATATTAAAATAAATAAATAAATAAAAAATAAAAATAGAGATTAACTCTCACAATAAGACAGTGAGCTCTAAACCATTTGGTTCAGATTATCAAATTGAGGTCCTACTGCTGATTTAAATAATAAAAAACAAGCTCATTTAAAGAGTGCATTCTCAAAGAAATATATTCTTTCTCCTAAGATTTTATTTGTAGATACCTGCCACTGTACCACAAAAAGTATCCTGAAAATGCAAAGGACATATAAACCTGTGACTTCTCTATCTGTATTCAACATTTTCCCCTCTTTTTAGTCTTAGGGGGAAAACATGTGATGATTCTATAGAGAGCTATTTATTCAGTATGCTAAGAACTAAGCTGCTCCAGAAAGTACAAATTTATATGAAATTCAGGTTTTTCAATACTTCTATAGAGAAATTATACGTAAAAACTTTGTCCAGTCATTCGCCCACCTTCCCCCAAGATTCTCTTTCCAAAAAAGCTTTTTGTTTTTTTTGGAGGATAAACAACATGGGTTAAAACTATAGTAGATCTAAGTGGAATTAAACTGTGGCTCAAAAGCTTGGAAAAATCTATTCCAAAGATAAAAATATATAAGAAGGAAATATCCTTGCTAACAGTTAAATGACAAATTTCCGAAAACTCATACCCATTTGTTCTCTTCCACTAGGTTGTCTACCAGGATTTGGGTTTAGAGGCTGAAGTGAAGATCCTTTCAGAAATGTATGTTGGATGCCATCCTTAGTTCCATGCAAGAAATGAGCTAAAATCCCATATAAAAGAGGTCTATAGCAGGAAGAAAACCAAAATCAATTAAATTTGCACGAAAAGGAAAAACTTAAAACTATGCTTTAAAAGGTAGCCTCTGACACTAAAATAGTCAAGTAATTCACTAGGCTTATAAAATAAGGTTGCATGGTTATTATACAAATTGTAAACTGTTCATGCTTTTTAAGTTGAAAAGTGCTATTTTACTCTAAAGATGATTTTAAAACCCAGGGAGAAAATGTTAACACCTTAAATCGCATCTAAACTGAAATACAATTTCAATCAATACAGAGGAGGAATTCAGCTTTTAAGCTCCAAAACCCAGTATAAAATTTTTCAGTACCTAATAATCACTATTACACAATAGTTATTCAATAAACTCTTCTTGCATTAATAATCCTTGCCTAGAGAAGGTCTTATGTCCCAAGAGACATACTGCCTTTGCCATCTGATCTCAGAAAGATTTTTTAAAAATTGATTTCAGAGAAGAAGGAAGAGGGAGAGATAGATAGAAACATCAATGATGAGAGAGAATTGTCGATTGGCTGCCTCCTGCACAACCCCTACTGGGGACTGAGCTCAAAATCCAGGCATGTGCCTGACTGGAATCAAACTGTTATTTTCTGGTTCATAGGCTGATGCTCAACCACTAAGCTACACCGGTTGGGCATAGAGATTCTTAATGTCCCAGTCTCATAAATGTTTCTTTCTCTATAAGTTAGAGTAAGTATAAACCCTTCCTTCTTATAGGGTTATTATTGGTCCAAATGAGTTAATAAATGTCAAGTGTTTAAAACTGTGCCTGGCACATATTAAATGATATGTAAATGTCAGCTACATGGGAGTTGGGTAAGAATTAATATTTAAAAAGCTACTTTAGTTTACAAAACATTTCTGCCTCTTTTCAGTTTACCCTCACCTTGTGATGTCATAATCATCATCCCCAACTAATGAGAAAACCACAGCTCAAAATTAATTTGCTAGAAAGTCCTCAGCTAGTAAGTAAACGAACTTTTTACCTAAACTCCAAGTCCCAAACTCTTTTCAATATGCTGCCTGGGATTTATATTCCTGCTCTTGCACAAAAAGAAGCTGCCCTGCTGACAATAGAGGTACAATAAATGTTTTCCTTCATTTCTAATCTCATCATTGAAAACAAAATTTAATGGATTGAGTTTTTTCAGATATTTACTTCCTTATTAGTAGGTGTGATGATTTAAATTATGACATGCCTAACTGCCCTCGTTTAAGTAACAGCACTCTGTCCGAAACCGATTTGGCTCAGTGGATAGAGCGTTGGATTGAGGACTGAAAGGTCCCAGGTTCGATTCTGGTCAAGGGCATGTACCTTGGTTGTGGGCACATCACCAGTGGTGGGTGTGCAAGAGGCAGCTGATCGATGATTCTCTCCCATCGATGTTTCTAACTCTCTGTCCCTCTCTCTTCCTCTCTGTAAAAAATCAATAAAATATATTTTTTAAATAACAGCACTCTGCAACTTTAGAGACTAGGTTATTATAGCGTTGCGCCTTCATTGTGTGAGTCATCAGTATGGAGATATCATTAAAGACTCAAGAATACTTAGAAAGCCCTAGCTGGTTTTGCTCAGTGGATAGAACATCAGCCTGTGGACTGAAAGGTCCCGGGTTCAATTCTGGCCAAGGGCATATGCCTGGGTTGCAGGCTCAATCCCAGGTAGGGGGCATGCAGGAGGCAGCCAGTCAAAGATTAGTTCTCATTAGTGATGTTTCCATTTCTCTCATCCTCTCCCTTCCTACCTGAAATCAATAAAAATATATATTTTTTTAAAAGAATACTTAGAAAAGTGGGCAGCGGGACAAGAAGAAAAGGACAAAACTTGGGGAGTGCCCACGATTTAAAGGAACCCCAAAGGAACCAATAAAGACACTAATAACACCATTAGGGAGGCAGGAAAAATCAAGACAGTAAAGGATCACAAAAGACAAAACATTTTATGACAAAAAATGTCTTAAGGAAGAGTGACATTATTACAAAAGACTGCAGAAACTCAAGGAGTGACTTTGTACAAACTACAAGATAAAAGTGGCAAATGATCCTGGAACCATTTCATACAAAGATTTGTGGAAGAGTTCATTTTAATTGGTATGCCATTTAAAATATTTTTATGGTAAAATAATTCCACCATGAAGTAAGATGAAAAAATTCAATGTATTTTTTGAAAGAGAAAACATAGCATAGGACTTTAGAGCAATTCCTTGCTGGAAAAAGACTGCTTTGAGCTATGTTCCCAGGTGCCTATAGTAGTATACTTTTTTTTTCTTCTTTTTTTTGAACATTTATGGATCCTCTGGAAAATGTTACCACTGAAGTAAGAAAATAACTAATAAATTAGTAGAAAGTGGTTGTTCTTTTTAAGAGCATAGTTTTTCGTAAATGGTGTGGGGAGAATTTAAGATGCAAGGAAGACCACAGAGTGGATACTAAAAAGCAGAGTGTTGATATTTCACTAAGTTAAAATGGAGATTGAACAGTAGCTTGGGTTTGGACACTGACAGTTGTTTTTTCTTTTTTGGAGAGGGGAAATCTGAGTACGTAACTAAATTGAAATGAAGGAAGCTATGGGGAGGGCAAGTTAAATATGAAGAAGAAAATGATTGATAGAGCAAAAGCAACAGAAGGAAAAAAGATGGATCAAGAAGCCAAGAGGAGTGCCCCTTAGAAAGGGGTGGGGCGATTCCGTCCTCTGAAACCACGGGGATTTCAGCTCCAGAGAGCAGAGACTCATCTGACCCATTTATTGCTGCCAACCTTGGATTTGGTGCAGTGCTAGACAAACACTAGAACCAAATTAATACCTGTTGGATTAAAATGAAATAAAACCACCACTATGAGATTGTGACTCTAATACAACAATATCTGAAAGTTTATTTTAAAAATAAGTTCTTACATTGTATTATCCTTTGATTCTTCAAATGCATTTAGTTCTCGGATGAGAAATTGCCGGTCTAGTGGAACTACAGGTTGACCAGATTCTAGGGGGGAAAAAATTATGAAAACACTGAGTCTTTATCGATCTAAAAAGCAAACATGATTTTGATACCTACTTTCCAGATATACACATTTTTCAGATTTTGGAAAATAATGATGGCAGACCCAACTTATGCTTTTATGACTTTCAATTTATTTTATTAAATATATAGCTTAATATGGGTGATTTCATCTAAACTCATTTTAAATCTAATTTTTGGTTAGGGAAATACTGTTTCTGCAATACTAGGCATCAGCAGTCTGTTTTTGTGAATTCAACACATGACAGTACCAATATCCATTTGGTGGCAATAATTCTAAGAATAAAATTAATCCAAATATTAAATGCTGGCAAGGATATAGGGCAACTGAAAACCTCATACTTTATTAGTAGAAGAGCAAAAATGGTACAGGCACTATCAATAGTTGAGCAGTCTCTTATCCAGGTAAACATATACTTACAACATATAACCCAGCAATTCCACTCTTACCTCTTTATCTAGGAGAGACTAAAACCTATGTTCACACAAAAACCTTTTGTGAATGTTTATGACAGCTAGATTCATAATTGCCAAATGTCCATCAACTGACACAATAGCATGCTATTCAGGAAAAGTAAAAAAAGTCGACAGTATTGTGCTATGAAAGGAAGTCAACTCCAAAGTCTACATCCTATATAGTTCTATTTATAGGACATTCTGGAAAAGGCAAATAATAGGCAGAGATAACAAGAGGTCAGTGGTTGCTAGGGGTAAAGGGTAGGTAAAGAAGTTGAATATTATATGTTGCAAATATTTCAGTTTTTTAAAAAAAAGCCAAGGTAGCCGAAACCAGTTTGGCTCAGTGGTTGAGTGTCGGTCTGCGGACTGAAAGGTCCTGGGTTCGATTCCGGTTAAGGGCATGTACAATGATTGCGGGCACATCCCCGGAAGGGGATGTGCAGGAGGCAGCTGATTGATGTTTCTCTCTCATCGACGTTTCTGGCTCTCTTATCTCTCTCCCTTCCTCTCTGTAAAAAATCAATAAAATATATTTTTTTTAAAAAGTCAAGGTATTTAATATGAAACTTGACTACTGTCACTGTATTTCACTCTAGGGAAGCTCAAGTCCAAGACACGTAATTAATGATATTTTCATAATGTTCTTCTTTTCTGAGTATTAATGGTATTATCCAAACATCTATAACAAAAGGGAGGAAAGTGGAAATACTGATATTAAAGTTCCTTAAGCCAATAAAAATTATCAGTTTTTATTCAGTTAAGACATGCTTAATATTAAATAAAAGACCTGTAATTGATTTCATTCTCTCTTCCAAAAATCTACTTTATGAATTATTTTCTTTAATGAGAACATCTTTAAGGCATGAAATAGTTTTAAGCATAGATTAAACCTTAAGGGAATTAGCCCTGGAAATGTGGTCAGCTGGTTGGAGCATCATCTCATACACCAAAAGGTTGTGGGTTTGATTCCCAGTCAGGTTACATACCCAGGTTTCAGGTCTGATCCCTGATTAGGAAATGTTTCAGAGGCAATTGATCAATGTCCCTCCTTCCCTCTCTAAAAAAGGCTAAAAACACACAAAAAAAAACTTAAGGGAATTCAAGTATGTATAGGGTGGGGCAAAAGTAGGTTTATGTGTCCTAATCACTCAGACGATTTTATGTCCTAGTCTCTCAGATAATGCTGTTTTATAATGGAATTAGATTTCCAGGCTAAATACTTAGAATTGGTGGAAGGCAAAAAGCAGATTTTGCCTCACATGACTAACGATACCTCTTACCTGCAATGAGGACAGACGATGTATACTTATATTTGTTGAATTCCAAATACTCCCGAATTAATTCATTAATAAGAAGATTTTCATGAGACAATGTTGGTCGGGGTTCACTTTCATCATCTAGGGCTTTGAAAACTTCAGCTCGAATTCTCGCTTTTAAATGCCCTAAGACTCCTCTTTTTTCCAAGGTGTCCTTTAAAACTGTCAAATATAAAACATTAACGCTTCAATTATAGAGTAAATTTTGTCATTCTTAAGCTTACTTTAAAGAAAATGGTTTAAAAGGTAAATGACCTAACAACAGCCTTCAATCTATACACTGTGATGAACTGAACAATGATCACATTAGCTATCACAAGCCATGTTTGTAATAAAAAATAAAGTTCCCAAGTTGCAATGATGTACTATTTTTTAATGTATTTAAACAAATTCAAGTTTATTTTTCCAATACTGTCACATTCCTGGTTGAGAAAAAAAGGGGGGAATAGAGCCAAAACTGAAACCGGTTTAGCTCAGTGGATAGAACGTCACCTGGGGACTGAAAGGTCACAGGTTCGATTCCGGTCAAGGGCATGTACCATGGTTTCGGGCACATCCCCAGTAGGGGGCATGCAGGAGGCAGCTGGTTGATGTTTCTAACTATCTCCCTTCCTCTCTGTAAAAAAAAATCAATAAAATATATTTTTAAAAAGGGGGGGATGGGGAGAAGAACTATAGTCAGCACACAGGGACTTGAACTTACCCTCCAGTGTCTCATATATTTTCTAAAATATTTATCACTGCAGACAGGTTCTGCATATCCCTAAAAACCTTTGCTATCCAGAACTCTTGGGAAATGGTTCATTCTAAATGAAAAGGTGGGTTTTGTGTTTGGGATATTTTCTTTTGTCTGTTTTTTTTTTAATGACAATTGTGCATTAATTCCTTAAAACAAAAGGATTTTGAAATTTTAAGCCTAGTTAGAAATCTAACACAGATTGAGAAATCAAGGATATATGATATATGCTCAATGTAATCTAACTTCTTGATGAACAAGAGTCATTATAACAAATATCAGTAGTTGTGATAATGAAATTTAGCAATAAATATTAGTATGGATAGTAAAGGCATATGGCTGAATTGGCACCATCACTTGCAGGAGTCTACAACCTTTTTTTTTTTTTTTTTTTTTTCCAAATTGTCCCTAATTGTAGAGGGGCCCTTGGGAATGCTCATGGATGACCCTTTAAATTAATGTCAGCTGAGTCCCAGGTGACTGACAAGGCCATCCCCCGGAAACAGCCTCCCAAAATGTCAGAGACAGTTATCAGTACGGACTTCTTATCTTTATCGATGTGCTTGGAATGAGAAACAAATAGGATCTTGACTTACCCAGGTATTGATATGCTAAATCCCAGGAATGAGGGAATGAATAGAACCTGGGCACACCCAAAACTTTTGACTTAACCCCCCTCCCCCTCTGGAAATCAATAAATGCGCTGTGTTGTCTGTGGTGGGTGTTGACTGTCCTCCTATCAGAGTGACTGCCTCCACCGGGCAAACTTATTGCTTTCTTTCTTTTGGATCTATTTCTGCCTCTTGGTCTCATTCCTTCTTTTATCTCTTAATCCCCAGCTCCTCCACTCAGGAGCCGGTCCTTAAAACACTGTGCCGTAACAACTTCTTCAGTGGCAGCTCCATAGCTTGGTGTGTATCCCTAAGCATCTATCTCCTCTGAAGTGGTGTGCAATACTGTACATGACGTGTTTCCTGGGGAGCGGGCTCAGCGACTTCCGGGGAGGCTGTTCTTGCGGTCAAGGCATGTGACACAATAGTACACTCATCCCAACGGGGACTGATTCATCTCCAGGAGGTGCAACCCCTCCCGGCCAAATCTCTAAGAATCACTGACATCCGCACGTCCCCTGCAAACTGGCACCGGTTCCATGAGCGGGGCAGGGCAGGGTCCGGCCGTGACTGAGCCCTGAGCTCTGGTGCAGCATTTGTCTGTTTCTCACACTCTGCCTCCTTCTGGCTACATCATTCAGGGCGAGCTATTTCACTTCCCAGCACCCCAATTTCCTCATCTATGGAGCGGGCACAGGGTTGTCCACAATGGAACCAAATACATAACACAGAGGCTGGGCCCTGCCTGGCCCGTGAGGCTCCATCACTGGTAACTGTAATTATTACTACTACCCGCCTGGCTATCTGCGTCAGAACTAACGGCGTGCAAATGTTATCAGGTTAAGGACTCTCGCCTTTGTGGGGTTTTTTTTGTTTTTGTTTTTGTTTTTTTTCTTCGAAAAAGACAGCAGAATGGCCAGGCCCCGCCCAGTCCGATGGAAAATCGGGCCCCGACCCCCAGGTTGTAAGGATGCAGAAATGGCTCAGGGAAATGGCTGTGGAGACTGTAACCGTTATCCCCGCGTGAACGGCCCACGCCACGGCGGGTCCGGAAAAAGAAGGCGCCAGCGGCCCAAGGCGCAGGACTGCAGACGTCCCAGGTACCTGCAGATTCTGGATTTAAAAAAACTGCCCCGTGCAGCCCCTTCCCTCCGGGATCCTAAACACAGCGGCCACAGCGGCCACCACGGCGGCCGGCTGCGCAGGCCCTGGCGACGCAAGGAGACCGCCCGGAAAACGCCGACTCCTCTCCGCGCGCCCTCCTTTCCACCCATCCTTTTCACCGGCTGCGGACCGGCAGCATGCCACCGGGCAAGCTCCCGACGCGCACTCACCAGCCTTCAGCTCGGTGACAGTCGCCATTTTTAACGGCCGCCAGGGGCGCGGCCCCGCCCCGCCGCGGCATGGTCTGTAGCCAATCAATGCGCCGCTCTCGCCGCGCCTGGCCCCGCCCCTCTCAGTTGACGCGACTGGGTGGGCGGGGACTGTCCTGAATCCCCAACAATCAGCGAGCGCGCTGGACCGCTCGGCGGAAGAGGAAGGAGGGAGGAGGAAGGAGGGAGGGGGAAACGGGGACTGCGGCAGGTTGGCAGGTCTGAGCCCTTACCTGTGGCGTTTGGTGGTACCTGCCTTTCCTTGTTATGGACTGAAAATTCCACAAGGCCAGCGCAGCAGCTGTGCACCATAAATGCCACAAGGCCAGCACGGCAGCCGCTGCACAGCTCATTAAAAGAAGCTCATTAAAAGCAAAATGTAGCCGAAACCGGTTTGGCTCAGCGGTAGAGCGTCGGTCTGCGGACTGAAAGGTCCCAGGTTTGATTCCGGTCAAGGGCATGTACATTGGTTGCGGGCACATCCCCGGTAGGGGGTGTGCAAGAGGCAGCTGGTGGATGTTTCTCATCGACGTTTCTGGCGCTCTCTCTCTCCCTTCCTCTCTGTAAAAAATCAATTAAAAAAAAAATATATATATGTATACACACACACACACACACACACACACACACACATATATATATATATATATATATATATATATATATATATATATATATATATATATATATAATTTTTTTTTTAAAGCAAAATGTACTGACCACTATCTGATACAAGAGGGGTAAGGCCAGTGGCGGGAGGAAGAAGGGAGAACTGGGAGAACTGACATGTTAAATGTAAAATAATTAGGAATTGCTGATGGCTAAAGGCAGATATCCGCTTCTGTACACATAGCTTGCTTGCTTGCTAAGGATGAGAAGCTGCAGACCCTGCACAGGAAATAAAAACACTTTTCTAAACATTTCTTTATCTGTGTTCGAGTGAGGTGTCTCTCCTGGGTTACAACATCCTGATCTGCCCATTGCTCGTCTCTGCAGCCTCAACTACTAATTGTTAATAGTTACCCTGTCTTAAGCCTGAGGTTTTAAAGCTTAAGCATGCATTAGAAGCATCTGGAAGACCTGTGAAAACAGGTTACCCGGGAGTAAATTTTGATTCAGTAAATCTGGGGTGAGGTCCAAGAATTGCATTTCTAACACCTTCCCAATGACACGCGGATGCTGCTGCTCTGGGGATCACGCCTTGAAAACCACTGGATTAAGGGCTCACTAGGAGCCTGTCACTGTGCTAAATGCTTTACACACATTAGTTCATTGATTTTCCCCCTCTATGATTACTCTCAATTAACATAGGAGAAAACTTGAGCATTTGATAACCAAAGAGACTTCACCAAAATCACCAGCTAAGGGTGGCCTTGAGGTTTGAATGCAGACCTCTTGCTCTTCAAAGCTTGTTCCCTGTCACTGATAAATAACACTATAAGGCAAATGCATAAGAAGCCCAAGAGCTATTTGTAAAAATAATTGATGAATGAAGAAGCTCTAGCATGCCAAGGAAATGAAGGAAAAGGAAATGCTAATAATGGTAGTAAAGTACCCAAAACTGAGTGTGAAGTCCTGAGTCCAACTATATTGCCAAGAAGGTTAATATCTATGACCTCTATCCTAGAACAGTGCTCTTTAGATTACTGGTCTTAACCCAATAGTGGCTTTTGAAATCTATTTATTGTGAATTCTAATGAGCGTATTTTCAATGAAATGGAATAAATAGGAAACAAGTGTTGTTGTTTTTGAAACTTTTGTTTGGGGTATATATGTGTGTATTCTGGTTCCTGGTGTAATTCTTAAAGTGGGTAGCAGTCAAAAAGTTTGAAAGCCATTGTAACCTAGAGGAATCCATTTCTGTTCCAAACTAATTTTGACCTGGGACACGGATCTGTCCTGCTACCTTAGAAAGGTCCTGTCACACTCCCCTGTTCTGTAAAACCCACGGTGCCTGAATTCCTGGCCAGCATCTGAAGAGATGTAAAAGATTTAACTACATTCTATAGGTAGAATGTTTGAGCTCTTCAGAGAAAATCACTCCTGAATATACCGATGATGAACGAGAGAGAGAGAGAGAGAGAGAGAGAGAGAGAGAGAGAGAGAGAGAGAAGCAAACAAAGATGGAATTGATTGACCTGTAGTGGTAATCATACAATAATGAACAGCCATTGCCACTCTGTGTGGCAGGCACTGCTCTAAGCTGTACTTTAAGTCATCAACAACAACTCTATGAAGCAGATACACAGCAATCATCTAAAGTACAATTTCATTTAAAAAACAGAGTGGAATTGAGGAATGCACTGTGTTGGTAGGAGGTGGGGAAATATGCCTAGCTGGTAGGCGGGTAAATTGGCTCCACTTTCTCAGAAGGCTGTTTGGCCATAATTAATCAACCTCTCACACCCTTTGACCTACCAATTCTAGTTTTAAGAATGTACCTTACAGCCCTAGCTAGTTTGGCTCAGTGGGTAGGCCCACAGATCCTTCAATTCCATCAAGGGCACGTACCTCAGTTGCAGACACAATCCTGGCCCCGGAGACAACCAATCGATGTCTCTCTCCTATGATCTCATCTCATATGGATGTTTCTCTCTCTGTCTCTTTCCCTCCCTTCCACATTTTCTAAAAATCAATAGAAAAAATATCCTCGGGTGAGAATTAACAACAACAAAAAGAATGTACCTTATGGAAACAGTCCCACCTAATTATGAAGGATGTGTGTGAGAGAATATTCATGAGTAGTCATTGTAGCACTGTTTATAGTAGAAAAGTCTGTCTTCCTATCAGAATGGCTGGAAGAAAAGCAACTGTCAATAAGAAGACAGAACACTGGGGAATATGCATATCTTGCTGGTGGTATAGTCACTTCAGAAATCAGTTTGGCAACTGCTTATTAAGTCAAATGTACACTTACCATACAACCCAGTAATCCCACTCCTAGGTGTTTACCCATGAGAAATAAAAACATACGTCCATACAAAAAGCAGTATGCCATTATAGCAGATTTAATCATAATTTCTCAACTGGAAATGACTCATTGTCTTCCAACTGGTGAATGGTTATAAACTAGCGATCCTATATAATAAAAGGCTAATATGCAAATAGACCAAACACAGTCGCTATGATGTGCACTGACCACTGAGGAGAGCACACAGAACATGGCAGGCATCGACCACAGCAGGATGGTGGAACAGGTGAGTGGGGCGCCAGTTCAAGGCGGGTTCCAGTCACTGTCATCGGGGTGAGCCTCTGGTGGTTACTGAAAATTCTTTGCTCTTACTGGCTGAGGTCCCATCTTGCACTTGCATCTGCTGCAGGCGCCAGCCCCACGCACACCCGCTGCCGGAGCCAGGGCTGCTGCTTGTGCCCACTGCCGGTGATGGCCCTACTTACACCCATGGCCAGTGCTGGAGCCACTGCTCGCACTGACTACCAGCACCTGGTGCCAGTCCGATTGCTCAGTGCCAGCAGTGGATGCGAGTGGCAGCTGCCATCCCTGATCGCCCCTCAGGGCTTCTTTATCTCCCCTTGCTCCTGCAGGGTTATTGGGGCAGCAGCTGCCGCTCACATCTGCTGCTGCTGCTGCAGGCCCCAATTGCTCCACGCCATCAGTGGGTGCCAATGGGGCCAGTGCCATCAGTGCTTGGGAGCAGCCTCGGCCAGAGCCAGGCTGCCAGCAGACAAGGGACCCAGGCTGTGGTGGGAGGGGCTGAAAAGGGGTGCAGAGGATGGGCCAAGACCCATTCATGTGCCCACTGCAGCCTTGCAGCCCACAGTTCCTTTCACTGTGCACGAATTCATGCACTGGGCCCCTAGTGGAATGTAAGTACAATGGGATATCAATCAGTAATATTAAGGAAGCAACCATGGATACATGCAACAATATGGATGAATCTCAAATGCATTGTGTTGGTGAAAGAAACAAGACTCAAAGCCTACATCCTATATGATTCAATTTATATGACATTTTGGAAAAGGGACAAAAAAAAAGTATAGAGACAAAAAGCAGATCAGTGGTTGCCAGGCTGAGGATGAGTGAAGGGAGCTAACTACAAAGGTTCATTAGAGAGATTTTTGGAGTGATGGCACTGTTCTACATATTAGCTATGACTACACAATTGTATATGTTTACCACAGTTCATAGAGCTGTACACTTAGAAGGGTGAACTTTCCTGCATGTAGACTTGAATTTCCACTCCTTCAGCTCTGAATTTACATTTCATTTCTTCCTAAACCTTCATGGCTTGATCTGGGTTCCTCTCCTTAGATCTATTTTGGGGAGATGAGGGGCTGAGAAAACGGAGGGGTATAGATATAGGAGAGATGTACCACACCTATCCTCCCCACCCAGGCCCTTGATCTTGATCAGTTGGTCCCCTGTTTTACTTCCCAAGGTTCTGGAGGGTGACTCATCAGTCAGCAATTTGGAGCAAAGAATGCTCCCAGCATTGCACCTGGAGAGCAGCAGGCAGGTTAAGCAGACAGTGCTCCTCAGAACTCCATGGAGTTGCCCCACCCTGCACCATTGCCATGGCAGCCGCCTGTGTGCACTGGACTGTGACTCGTTAGTTCATGTCTGGTGCCCACATCGGACTGCTTTGCCTGACAGAATCCTTGCTTACCTTGCTCATCTCTGGTATGACAAATATTTCCAGGATATCTGAATGAAACAAGTCCTGAAAGGTAGCTCAATTCACAGTTGAAACTGACATCCAAAGACCTAACTGGCCCAAAACAATTAGACTATGAGTGGTGGAACTGGCCCTTCTCTGTTGTAGTGATGGAGATTAGAGGTCCCAACATCTGCACTTAGAGTAAAGCTCCACAGATACAGAATAAAACACAAACTAGTCCCAGCCTAACTGATTTGGCTCAGTGGATATAGCATTAGCCTGCGGACTGAAGGGTCCCAGGTTTGCTTCCGGTCAAGGGCATGTACCTTGGTTGCGGGCACATCCCCCAGTAGGGGTTGTGCAGGAAGCAGCT